TGTAGAAAGATGTTCCACCATCAGCTGAATGTATCTCCAACAGCTGGCTCCTCTGTTCTCTGGTTCTGATCCATGCTGCATTTAAACACGACCTGAAATTCATCTAAAAACTCTCTGAATGTTTCACAGCTGAGTCCGTGGTGGAGAATCAGAACCAGGAAGGACGAAGGTTTTGTTTTGGACAAGTTTCTCATCGGACATGTGATTTTGATAAAGTATCTTGATTTTAAACATATATTTGGGTCATTTTTCTGACGTCACAGATGACCTGCCCGCGGGCCCGTTGTAAAGCTGAAGATCCGATTGTGTTCTTCTGATAAATGGCGTCATTTCGGTGATTTCTTTAAAACACAACATGTGTTTCTGAGCAGCCGGCGGGTTTTCGGCTTCAGAGGGTTAATACAAACATAAACAGCAGTGTTATGGGAAAATACTCACCCTCCTCCTCCTCCTCCTCCCATCTTCCTCCATTACCTCGTAGTTCTGCAGAAACACAGCCCCGAGGACTTCCTGCTGTGTGATGTCATTGGAAAGCCCATCCAGCAGCCAGATGGAGCCATCAAATGGGAGACAGAGTGCCGGAGAAGCGTCGCCCCCTGGGAATGTCCTCTGCTGCTGGTGGACATGTGGCGGCCGAAGGACGGCTTTGAGCGGCGCTTTGAAATCCAGCGGAAGGACGACTACGAGAGGGAGGAGAGGGAGCGGGAGAAGGAGCGCGAGAGGGAAGGCGAGAACTACCAAGGTAGGTGTGACGCGTTGGCAACAGTGACGTGGTGCGTGGGGATGATGCTGATTGGGTGACGCGGTCGTCTGGGCGACAGGTGTGCGCTGGAGGCGGAGCAGGATGTCGTCGGGCGGCGGGCCGGAGGAGAGTGAGCGAGGTCACCGGGCGAGGAACTCCGAGCTCAGGAGGAGCATCAGCGACATGAACCTGAGCCTGCGCCGTCGCCAAGGCAACCACGTCGCCAACGAGCCCCGCGGCAACGGCAACCGGGCCAACAACAGCACGGTGACGCATGACAGGAAGAACATCATGAGCATGATCAACCCGCAGCCAGGAGAGGTAACGAGCACGGACACACATGATTCATACTTAAGCATCGCCTGTGAAAGGTCAGGGATTGTTCCAGTTTTTAGTAAAATTATTAACAGTCTCACAGTGTGTCTTTAGTTCTCAAATCAAAGATGCCTGATTCTTCCATTTCTGTTCTGTTCTAAAGTGGCTGTCGCTTTAAATACAGCTGAGGTGCTGTAGGTCCCGCCCCCTTCAGGAAGAAGACTCACCTGTGTGTGATTGACAGAGGAGCTGAGAGTCGTTTAACATGAAATTTGTGTTGTTTTTAACTCCATTATTTCGCTAGTTTGTCAGACGACGTTGTAAAATCAGCGTTTGTCGATGCTGAAGATGTTGCGTTTCAGTCTCTGTTTCATCCTCGTCGTGCTGTCGTACAGAAACATCTATGAATGAGAGCAGCTTTGTTGTGAGGTTTAGGTTGAACATGGATGGACAGCTTACTGGCTTAAGTTAAAACTTCCACAGAGCTCTGACGTTAGCCACATTAGCTTCACCACACGCTAATGCCAAGGATCCTCAGATGCAGCAGTGCATGAAGACTCTTGCGTTCACTCTTACAGCAGGACATTTGGTGAACTTTGCTCGTGTTTCGGACGCTTTAGAGCAGGTGTCTCAAACTCCAGTCCTCGAGGGCCGCAATCCTGCATGTTTTAGATGTTTCCTTCTTCCAACACACCTGATTCAAATGATCAGGCTCGTTATCAGGCTTCTGCAGAGCTTGATGATGAGCTGATCATTTGAATCAGGTGTGTTGGAAGAAGGAAACATCTAAAACTTGCAGGATTGCGGCCCTCGAGGACCGCAGTTCGAGACCCCTGCTTTAGAGTTTAGCAGAAGCAGCTGCAGAAAGTGAAGTTGGCCTGTGATGCTCAGTCTGATTGGTCCACCTGGAAGCAGTGAGGGGGCGGGGCTACACAAAGCTGAGCCATCACTGGTTCCTCAGTTTCTACGTAGAAGCTGAATAAAAGTATGATAAAACACAGTAAACATGAATGTCTCCATGTGGAACCTTTGTTCAGGTCAGAGCGTCCAGAGCCGAGGCCAAGGTCTGCTGGACGAACCAGCCGGCGGAGGAAGACAAGGACTACTCCAGCTGCGACCTGGAAGTGATGTCACAGAGCCTGATCCTGCCGCCGACGGACCGGCCCTACTTTCTGCTGCTGCAGGGCTACGACCAGAGCAAGGCAAGACACGCCGGCAGATGATATCACGCTCGCACGCGCTCACATCGACGCCGACACGAGCACGCAGTGGCCGCTTCGACCCGGACGTATGCTAATGCGCAGCTGCACGCTCACGCCCTGCACATGACATCAGACCTGCATGTCTGTAATCGCCTCAGATCATCAGGGTTTCCTTCACAAACAGCTTCAGAGCAGCACAAAGCCCAAAAACACACACACAAACCCTCCTGTGTACATCACTTCAGCCCACACAATGACCTCACACAGGTCTCCATTGTAGCAAACTGTGACACACTTCATGTCTTATCGCGCCCGATGGAAGGTGGATAGGAAGCGCTTCGGAGATAACGGACCTCCCTGGCTGTGTGTTTTGTTTAGGACTTTGTTTTGTACATCATGGCCGGCCATACGCATGTGTTCGGGAGGAAGCCCACGATGAGGGAGCGGGAGAAGGACCGTGAGCGGGAGAGGAAGGGGAAGAGGCCTCTGAAAGTGGACACCTTCCTGTCGGCTCCAGACCTGCTGGCCCGACACCTGCTGGTCCGGAGAGACGCTGCCGTTCCCGAGGCACCTGCTGGACAAGGTACCGCCGGCCGGGTCGCACCTCACTGAGATCCACACGGTTAGAGGTTCTGCAGCGTTCACACCTGCAGCACTGACGCTAAGAATGAAACGTCTGTCAGTTTTAACTCCCGTCTCAGTTTTCCTCACTGAGGTTCATTTTTCACTGCAACATGAAGTCCTGCACAGAACCCTGGAACAATAAATGTTGTCTCCTCATACTGTAGATATTTAACCAGGAGCATTTTACAGCCTCTACCAACTCTGACAGATAGTTTGGTGTCTTTCCTGTTGTTTTGTGTCACTTTTTGGTTGTTTTATGTGTTTTTAGGATAGTTGTGTCTCCATATTCACTTTGTGTCGTCTTTTTTCTAGTTTTCCATCTCATTAATGTTGTTTTCTCTCATTTTTTGTCTATTTTTTGTCATTTTGTCTCGTTTTTTTGTTTGTTTTGTGCCTTGTTTTTGTCATTTTGGCTCGTTATGTGTCTGTTTTTTGTTTTGTGTCTCATTTATGTCAATTTGTGTCTCGCTCTTGTCCTGTTGTGTCTCATTTTTCTTGTTTCATGTCTCTTTGTGACAGTTTTGCCTCTTCATGCTGCAGATATTGAACTATTTCCATGTTTCCAGCTGCAGGAAGACGTTTCACCATCAGCTGGACGTGTTGCATTTATTTTATCAGTGTTAGTTATTATGATTATTGTGTCAAGGTTTTTAGAGGCTGTAAAATGGATTATCCCAGTTCATGTTCCTGTTTTCTTACTCTAGCTGTTGGGTAGGATCTACACACCACATTTATTCCACATCTGCACACAGTCTTTATGATGTTGGTATTTTCTGTCCTTATTCTACTTCTGCATTCCTCTTCTTGTTCCTTACTTCATTTGTCTTGTAGCCTCTGAATCCTCCTGATAGGGGATCAATACCGTCTATCTGCTCTCTGCCTCCAGCTCTGATGCGTCCCTTCAGAGGCGGCGCCGTCACTCATAACGGCGTGGCCCTGTACAGAGAGGCCGTCCTGAGGCCCGGTGACATCATCGGCCTGGGGAACCACTTCCTGTTCCTGTACCGCGATCCCCGCGTGACCCCGGCTCCCCCGCTGGCCCTGACGCTGCCCTGGCAGGCCGACGCCAGCTGCTGCCCCTCGGGCCTGGTGGACCGGCAGGAGGCCCTGAGGCAGTACCTGGGCTCCACCGAGGCGGTGCTCAAGTTCCACCCTCGCCACGCCGACACCTTGTTACAGGTGAGTCTGACGTGAGCCGTCTGACTGCGGTGGGAAGCGTCCGTCATGACTCCTGCTTTGTTTGTTCTAGGAGATCATCACCAAAAACTCCTCCCCGGACTCTGGTGGGGGACCGCTAGCTCCCGCGTACCTCCTGTCAATCATGATAGACCACGCCTCCAAACACCTGGACCCCGCCCTCACACCGCAGATATTACTCAAGTCTGCCAACCTCATTAAAGAGATCGTCTGGGTGAGTAAAAGTGTGTTTATCTGAAGTTAAATGTGTATAAATGGGGAGCGTCGGTGGATTAAACCTGTAATGAATCCAGTTAATGTGTCCCTTTGAAACGCCCTCTTTACTTTCCTCGCTGCAGCTCAGGTTTCTTCACTTTCAGCGTGTCCACAGACGTTACCAACGCTGGAATAAATGTTCTCTCCACCTACTGAAGACATTTAACCATTTATATTTTACATCCTCTGCAAAATCTGAGAGACGGTTTTATCTGGCCTGAGTCATTTTTTTTCAGTTTGCATCTTGCTTTTCTTGGTTTCTGTTGTTTTATGTGTCCGTGGGACAGTTTTGTCTCCTTGTGGTCGTTCTGTCTAAACATAGTACATTTATTTTATTGATTCAGGCTGTAAAAATGGAATTCGGTAAATGTCTGTAGTGCATGGAGACAAAACTGTCACACAGCAGACGGTAAACTGAACACATAGTAAGAGAAACTGGCAAAAATGAGAAAAAGAAATACAAAATGACAGAAATGAGACACAAAACAAGAAAAACAAGGTACAAAAGGACAGAAACTTGCATAAAATGACCCCAAAAAAGACACAAAATGAAAAAAACAAGAAATAAAATGACAAACTACCACAAAATGACTAAATAAAAATGGAAAAAAGAGGGAATAAAAATGAGAAAAACAAGGCACAAAATGACAGAAATAAGGAAAAAAAAAAGACAAAAATGAGAAAAAGGAGACACAAACTGACAGAATTTGTACAAAATGACAACAAAATAAGAAAAAGAAACTAAAATGAGAAAAATAGGCACACAATGACAACAAAGAGACACAAAATGACAGAAACTAGCAAAAATTTACAACAAAGAGACAAAAATAAAACCTAAAATGAGAAAAAAGTGACAAAATGGGAAACACTAGATGGGATGAGACAAATGAAACCCAAGACNAAAAATAAAACCTAAAATGAGAAAAAAGTGACAAAATGGGAAACACTAGATGGGATGAGACAAATGAAACCCAAGACGACAGAACAGAAACCAAACCGTGTCAGACTTTAAACCTCTACGTTTACTGTCACAGCGTCGGTACCGTCAGGCTTCACTTTTCTAGTTTGTGTTGTTCTGACTTTAGGTTGCAGTGAGAAACGAGCCACAGTGAGTAAAAACGAGACAGGAAGTGGTTTGTTTGGAGTGTTTTGTGGGTGATTCTCTGACTTATCTCCAAGAAGGAAGCATTGATGGAACAAACAGAGCTCTGTCAGTGTCTGGTGTCTCTGACTAGACTCGGCGGGGAGACGCCAGGTAGAGGCGACCACACTGAGTCAGTCAGTCAGCCAGACAGACAGACAGACGGTCGTGTGCTGCTCACTGTGGCCGGCCGGCCGGATCACCAGCAGCAGCGAGGATGAGCTGAAGTCACTTCCCCGCTGCTGCTGCTGCTGCTGCTGCTGCTGGAAAAAGTGCTGTAATTGTTCTGCCTCCCCCACACTGATGCTTGTGTCTCCGCTCTGTTCGCAGGATAACATTAAGGAATTCGGGGATAAGCATCCCACGCAGAAGTAAGAACATTTTTGTCCGACGTAATGTTTCCTCTGTTTAGAGATCTCCAGCTGAGTGATTCATGATACATTTGTGCCGCTGCTGTTATGTCTTTGCTGGATGTTTGTGGTCTGATGAAAGCGTCCGTGTTGAGAACGTAGTTGGGTAATAATAACCGAGTCTATTTTTACCGCCGCATGGTGTGTGTCTGCCTCAAAGCGCAAACAAAGCAGTGACAGGAGAATGTTCACAGCGTTCTCACAGCGTTACATGAATGCCTGCAGCTCGGCGGAGCAGGAGGCCGACATCGGAGCCCCCAACGTCCAGAAGCTCTCCTCGGACCTGCGGCCGCTCATGTTCTGGATGTCCAACGCCACCGAGCTGCTCAACTTCTTCCAGGTCAAAGTGGAGACCATGGAGAAGGAGTGGGAGTTTGAAGGTCAGCAGGAAGCAGAAAGAGCTGCAGACAGAGCGTCACAGTTCACTAGACATAGATCAGTCCAGTCAGTGCATCACTTTCAACTGGAAGCTGAAGATAGAAAAAAAAAAAGTGTAAAAAATGGTGAAAATATGGATGCCAGGAGGCAAAAAAAAACGAATATTCAACAACTGTTAAAAAAAAAAACACTAAAAATAATAATAAGAAAAAAATAACATTAAAATAACAGTAAACTAGAAATAAAACATCTAATTTTATGGTTTAACATAAAAAAAAAATATGTAAATTGTGAACATGGAGATGTTTAATGTGGACGTTATTTTAAGCCTTTTTTTCTGGTTAACCTGTGAATTACTGCTTTTTACTGTGTATAATGTAATAAATCTGATATATAATCTGTAAAAATTACATCACTAATTTTTTTTCAAGTCAAATTAAAATAAATACATAAATTACATAACCGAAAATATCTGTAAACTAATATTTTTTTACTTTATAATTTATTTCTAAACAAACTGTAAAACAAATAATTATTTTAAAAACAAACATGTTGCTATTTGTAAAGATACAAATGTTTAATGTGGACGTTATTATTTTGTTTTTATAGCCTGTAAATTAATGCTTTTAACTGTATGTGATGGCATAAATCTAATATATAATCTGTAAGAGGATTAAAAAAAAACTGTAAAAAAAAATAATAAAAAAATAATCTGGCAGCAGCATGCCAGGAAAAAATACGTTTAAAACAGTGAAATCCTGTAATGTTAAAAGAAAAAAACCCAAAAACAAACAAGCTGTAAAATTAAATAAATGTTTTAAAAAAATACAGATAATAATAATAATAAAAATACATTTACAATTAACTTAAAAATAACTGGAGATATCTGTAAAATATTTATTATTTTAGCAGGTTGAAATGTAATTTTACAGTTTAACATTAGAAAAAAAAACATGTTGCTATTTGTAAAAATGCAGATGTTCAATGTGGATGTAATTTAAACCCTTTTTTAAAAGGTTAACCTGTAAATTAATGCTTTTACTTGTATATGATGTAATAAATCTAATATATAAAACAAAAAAAACATAATGTTCAAAAACTGTGAATTTTTTTTTATATAAAAAAAAATAACTGCAAATATCTGCAAAAAATATAGATTTTTATCTTTATTAGTTTTTATTAGTTTAATTGTTTGTTTGTTTTTAGCAGATTTAAATACTGTAGAACACGTCTAATTTTACAGTTACACATTATGAAAGAAAAAAATAATATTTGTAAGAATACAGATTGTTGATGTGGACGTTGTTTTGTTTTCTTTCAGCTCCTGGAGACCCGGTTCTGACGGCCGACATGGACACCTGCTCCGAGGCTCTGGCCCAGCTGGACGATGTCATCATGCACACCTTCCAGCAGTGCGTCTACCACCTGACCAAGGTGAGACCACGGCAGCAGAGCTTCAGCATGTGTAGCGTCCTGCGTAACGTTCATGTCAGCTCAGAAAGTCCAAGTAGAGCTCACTGAGAGACAACACAACGTCTTCCTGGAGATCTGTCCTCTGGAGCTGGTTCACCACCACCCACTGCTGGTCTGATGTGTTCCAGCTGTGAGCTGCTGCGCCGCTCGCGTTGAGAGCAGCACTGTGGGCCAGTAGTGAGCAGAAGGACTTTCTCGGTTCTGTCATTCTGTCAGCTTTGAGGTTCTTAAGGGGAAAAGAACAGCTTTAAAGGAGTTTGTAGTGTGGATCTGAAGCACTGGTTTCCGAAGCCGTGTGTCCTCCTGGTCGACCTCCAGANATTTGTAAGAATACAGATTGTTGATGTGGACGTTGTTTTGTTTTCTTTCAGCTCCTGGAGACCCGGTTCTGACGGCCGACATGGACACCTGCTCCGAGGCTCTGGCCCAGCTGGACGACGTCATCATGCACACCTTCCAGCAGTGCGTCTACCACCTGACCAAGGTGAGACCACGGCAGCAGAGCTTCAGCATGTGTAGCGTCCTGCGTAACGTTCATGTCAGCTCAGAAAGTCCAAGTAGAGCTCACTGAGAGACAACACAACGTCTTCCTGGAGATCTGTCCTCTGGAGCTGGTTCACCACCACCCACTGCTGGTCTGATGTGTTCCAGCTGTGAGCTGCTGCGCCGCTCGCGTTGAGAGCAGCACTGTGGGCCAGTAGTGAGCAGAAGGACTTTCTCGGTTCTGTCATTCTGTCAGCTTTGAGGTTCTTAAGGGGAAAAGAACAGCTTTAAAGGAGTTTGTAGTGTGGATCTGAAGCACTGGTTTCCGAAGCCGTGTGTCCTCCTGGTCGACCTCCAGATCGCTCAGATCCTCACGTTCTCCTGGTCGACCTCCAGACCTCTCGGATCCTCGCGTTCTCCTGGTCGACCTCCAGACCGCTTAGATCCTCACGTTCTCCTGGTCGACCTCCAGACCGCTTAGATCCTCGCGTTCTCCTGGTCGACCTCCAGACCTCTCGGATCCTGACGTTCTCCTGGTCGACCTCCAGACCTCTCGGATCCTCGCGTTCTCCTGGTCGACCTCCAGACCTCTCGGATCCTGACGTTCTCCTGGTCGACCTCCAGACCTCTCGGATCCTCACGTTCTCCTGCTTCCATCAGAAACCTCATGACATGCACACCTTCATTGACTTTCATGGTCGTTTATTTACTTCATTTTGCTTCGTGAACTGATTCTCCAGGCTTCTTTCTTGCTTCTTGCACATATTTTTGTAGTTAAACGGTAAACAGGTTGATCAGGCTCCGTGTTCACCATTAGCTTAGCATGCGAGCACGTTTCCTGCCAACACTGGAAAACATCTAAACGTACTCTGGATGTTTAACTATTTACATTTTCTCTCACAAACTCTACAAACCTTGAGTCAGTTTTGTCTCTTTTCTGTTGTTTTGTGCCTCGTTTTGTCCATTTTGTGTCTCGTTTTAGTTGTTTTATGTGTCTGTAGAGCAGCTTTGTCTCTTTGTGGTCATGTTCTGTCTTGTTTTTCTTGTTTTTCTTGTTTTGTGTCTCCCTGTGACAGTTTTGTCTTATTGTGATGATTTTGCGTCTCAGTTTTTACCATTTTCTGTCTCGTTTCTCTTGTTTTGAGTCGTGTTGTGTCTCATTGTGGCCATTTTGTGTCTCATTGTGACAGTTTTGCCTCCTTGTGTTCATTTTTTAGTCGTTTTCTGTCCCTCTCGTGTCATTTCGTGTTTCTTTGGGACAGTTTTGTCTCCTTCTGTTTCAGTTGTGGTGGATTTTCCTGACAGAAGCGTTGGTTATAGATGAGTCGCTAACTGTCAAACAGATTTTTTATTTTTAACATTTTTTCTGGCTCATAAAATGGTGTCATGTTGGTGATTTATTACAGATGAGACGCCTTTTAAACCCGCTGGTGGGTTTTTCGGGTTCAGAGGATTGTTTTTATTTTGCTAAACGTAGCTCAGTGTTTGTTGAAGAGCAGCTGATGTTGTGCTGATCTGTGGAAACACTGCCTGCAGTTCAACCCAAAACTCAGAATCTGGTGCAAATGCTACATGTTTTGGGTTTTTTTGTAATGAGACGTGTCGGATAAAGTCTTTTTTTGGAAGTATAACTTTAAACTCAGATTTAGTTAACAGTCAGAACCACATGACGTCTGAAAGTTGAAAATCCTCTGATTCTGATTGTTTATTCAGACCCTGGATAATTTATTCTACATTTTTTTTCAGACTGGCTTCAGCGTTCTTGCAGGCATCACTACAGATATTATTTTTTGTCTCACAAACCCGTGAACTCCACCTTCTGCCCTCTCAGACGCTGTACTCGCTGCTGCCGGCTCTGCTCGACTCCAACCCGTTCTCCGGCGAGGAGAAGGAGAAGGAGAAGGACGGAGCCGGAGGAGCGTCGGGGGAGGAGAAGGGAGGAGGCGACGGGGAGGTGGACGACGTGTCGGCTCTGCCCTCCAAGGTGGCCGGCCTGGTGGAGGTGTACCGCTGCTCCCTGATGCTGTCCAGGGAGGCCTGCCTCTCGCCGCCGCTCACCTCCCAGACCTTCGGCTACCTCTTCTTCTTCACCAACACCTCCCTGCTCAACACGCTGCTGGAGAGAGGTCAGAGGCCCCCCCAGGGCGCCGAGGCCTCCTGGTGCCTTATTCTAAGATAATAAGTTAACATCAGCATGTTTTGACCATCAGTGCTTTAGCCAAAGTGCTCTTCAGTAAAAAAAAAAACAAAAACATGAGATTGACATTAAAAAATTACCCAAACAAATTTAAATATTAAAGTTAAAGGCCTTCAGTGTTATTTTTAATGAGAGTAAATTTACATATTAAGGATTAAACCCAACAAAGATCATATACAACGCAACTTTATCTGACAATAACAAATCTGAGGGCTGTAAAAATAAAATAAAACACTCTTTAAACTATTTTTAACTGTAATTTTCTGTCTTTTTACATTTTTTCCCGTTTTATTAAATTACAGATAATATCCAGTAAAATCACTGAAAAAATATTAATTCACAAGTTAAATGTAAAAAAAATTTAATCACAAATATTTGCCGTTATTTTGGGGGAAAACTACACCGAGGAATGTTATTTATATTTATAACTTTATTTTTTTTCCATATTTTAATTTTTTTTTAACAATTTACAGTTATTTTACTTTTTTTCATTTTGTTAAATTAAATATATATCCAGTAAAAAAAAAGAGAGATTTATTAATTTACACTTTGACTGTTAAATAGGACAAACTGTTTATATTAGATTGTAAGTTGCTGTTTTATAATATAGGGAAAATTGTAAATTTGTAATTTGTAAAAAAAAAAAAAAAATTATAATTATTTTACAGATACTTGCCAATTTTTTCCTTTTTTTGTGTCTTTTTTCAGTTTTTAAACATTATAAACAGTATTCCGTAGTTTATGAACATATTTTTTCTGCCAGGGTTATTTTCTTAACAGTGTACATTCTAGTTTGTTCTGGAGATTAGCCTGATTAAATTAGAACTAAACAAAAATATTTTTACTGTAATTACTTTAAATAAAATGTAGAAGTCGTCCAGCTGTGTTTATGAGTCGTTTCTGATTGGAGGTGACAGATGTGTGATCTCGTTTTAACGCAACAGAAACGTATATATCTGTTTTTTTCTAGACGGACTGTTCTCGTGGTCCAGAGCAGTTCAGATCCGAACCAACCTGGACCTGGTTCTGGACTGGCTGCAGGGGGCCGGGTTGGGAGACATCGCCTCCGAGTTCATGAAGAAGCTGTCCATCACCGTCAACTTCCTGTGCATCCCGAAGACCCGGCTGATCCAGGTGACACCCGCACACACCTTTACCTGCTCAGGCGTCTGCTGGAACATAGTACCAATACTGATGATGTTCTGATCCGACAGTCGACGTGGAGCAGCCTGCAGGAGGACCACTCCCTGCTGAGCCCCTCCCAGCTGCACCACCTGCTGACCCACTACAAGCTGGGACCCACCAGAGCTCCTCCGTCCTCCTGGGCTCCTCCTCCAGGCACCGAGCTCAGCGGAGGTGAGACATGAATGAAAGCCGGTGAGACGTTGGGTCGAGGCGCCGGATCGGTCCGACTAAACGTGACTTGTGCTGTTTTCAGACATCTTCGAGAGCTTCCTGGACCACCCGCCCCTCATCCTGCCCAACGAGACGCCCCGCCTCGACCTCTCCCAGCCCATCCCCAGCCCCGAGCTGCAGAAGGAGGTCACGCGTCTGCGCACCTTCCTGTGGGGGCTCGACCAGGACGAGCTCCCGGCCAATCAGAGGACTCGGCTCTGAGGACGCCCATATTTGGAATAAGGATAACGGCAAAACAGGAGAAATGCAAACTGGACGTGATTTCTGCATTTTACTGCCTGTGTGTTGCTGTTCATTCGTATCATTTCATTTATTCATTTAGATATGTTCAAGTAGAATAAACGTCCTGGCTCTGGTTTGTCCAGGTTGGACTTATTTTGGGCCCGGCGCTGTTATGCTCCACATGACTGTGTTACTTGGCCTCCATGCATGTTTTCAAACTACTTGTTTTTAATAAAACGCTGAATTCTAGTCTACAGACCGAGAGTTTCCGTTTGCTCTTTGACTTCCCACAGCAGGCCTCCGGGGCTTGGCACTCGGCTCGGCTGCCACACCGGCCCGACCCTCCACCGGGTGGCGCTGCAGGACGCGTTCACCTTTCGGGCGATAAGTGATGAGTGTGCAGGTAGAGCAGCCCGATCACACGGCTGCATTATCGCCTGCCTCCTGCTCATTTCCTGTAATAATGGAGGCAGCAGCAGCAGCGGCGTGACTCAGAGCAAATGAGTGAGTGACGACCGCACACAAAGGTTACCTTCACCAAGGTGAGCCGTCCAAAGGCCACAGCTGCTGACTGGAGGCCGACGGCTTGATTTCCCCCTCTGTGATGTGACACACTGATCGCAGAGTTTCCTCTTTCATTAAAGTCCACATCATTAGGCAGCCAGAACGCAGTAAAAAGCCTTTGATGGGAGTCTGTTCCCACCAGTGGTGACGCTCAACTGTTAGAACAATGCTGCAAACACACAACTTGTGAGAATTAATCTCTTAAACTCCACGTCCATAAATGTTGTATCCTGTGTGGGCTATCAGGGGGGTGGAGTCTGTCCCAGAGCGAGTCACCTGGACAGGTAACCCGTCCATCACAGGGACTCGTGTTCACACCTACAGACAGTTTTGAGTCACCTCTGACCTCAGCGTGTCTCTGGACTGTGAGAGGAACCCGGAGAACATCACTGAAAGAGCCCAGATTCAAACCTTCCAGCTGTGAGGCGACAGAGGCAGCTGCTGCTCCACCGCGTCGCCCTGCTGCATGAAGAACAACCTAAAAAACACAAGAACGACTTGTTCTTTTTTAGGGCTTTTTAAAAACTAATTTTAACTGTAGTTTTCTGTAATTTCACTTTTTTTCCCCATTTTTATTAAATAACAGATAATATCCAGTAAAATCACAAAAAAATGTTGTTTTTAAACAAATTTTTCAGCTGAAAAACTTAAACTGTTCATTTTTATAATCATAAAATACTGAACATAAAATAATGTAAAATATTGTGAAAATACTAGTTTGTGGATTTTGTTCTCCAGATTTAAACATCATGTGTTCAACTGCAGCTCAAAGTAAAAAGACAAATTATCAGACAAAATTTGTTGATTTGATTTTTTTTTTTTTTTAAATGTTGAATTAGATTTTTGAAAAATCTACTTAAGTTTTTACACATTGTTCAAAAACTTGTGTTCAATATGTACATAACACATAAAAACTCATTTTTCTCATTGGAGTGACTGAATTTTTATCATTAATCAACTTAAAAACATGTTTGTGCTACGAATCATTTAGCAAGTAAATAAACCCACTAAAGAAAATCTAGTTAAAGCACAATTTTTTAAATGAATTTTTCAGCTGAAAAACTTAAACTGTTCGTATTTATTGTCATAAAGTACAAAACATAAAATATTTTAAAATATTGTGGAAATACTAGTTTGTTGTTTTTGTTCTCAAGATTTAAATATTAGTTTTAAAAAATTTATCAGACAAAATTTTGTTGTTGATTTGATTTTTTTAAATTTTAAATTATATATTTTTTAAAATCTACATTTGAAAAAAAAAAACAACTTAAGTTTTTACATATTGTATTCAACAATAAAAATTTTTATGATTAATTAACTTTGAAATGTGTGTTTGTGCTGCCAATCATTTAGCAAGCAAGTAAATAAAACCACTAAAGTAAATCTAAAATTTAATTTTTAAAATGTTTGTGAAGGGAAAACCCATTAGTTCTGCTCATTAAGTGTCCAACAAATAAAACAATGTGGAAATTTTAAATATTGTGTGTTTTTGAATACAAAAGTGCAGTTTAATGGAGCTATTTTTAAAAATCTAATTAGAGTAAATTGTTTAAAAGTTAGGTCAAGTTAAAAATGTGTGTTCATAATTCTGGTGATTAATTATCTAATACATTTTTAAAAATCCTTATAAATACCAGTAAAGTGAAAAATGACCTCAGGCTGAACTCTTGTTTCTGCTTCCGGTCATTAATGAGGGAGAGTTTATTGTTCGGTGGGACAGACGTTACTGTTTACAGGTGATATCGTGGTTCTCAGTGACTCAGTCGACCCCGTTTCTGCCTCGGGTTTGTAATATCCAGTTAATGCCGCGGTTCATTCCCTCAGACGTCTCCAGCAGCAGCAGCTTTGTTTTCAGACTGAAGCTCTGACGTCTCAGAACAACTCCAGCTATCATGATCCTCGCTGGCGTCCGGCCAGGCAGCTTCCTTTCTTCCGGTCAGCACATGAGCTCCTTTACGGTAAAAAAAAAAAAAAAGGCCCAAAAAAACAGAAATCAGTCCCGTGAGAAGCCCCTCTGCTTACATCAGCGCTGGAGCCTCTCACATCAGAACACCCTGACACAGAGCTGGTAGGAGGTGAATCACCAGGAGAGGCTCCCTGTGGTTCCATTTATCAATTAGCTGATTGTGATCGCGCTGGTTGAGATTGGCTGCGGTGTATGAGTGAGAGTGAGGCCGTGTTTGTGCGCTAATTTCAACTTTCCAGTAATGTCGTGCAGATGTAGACGGTTATAATTAGAGCCAGATGGGCCGCTGACGGTGTGATGTCACAGCAACACGGTGACCAACAGCATGTCAGGTTTACTAACCATGTGACACACGCTGTGATCTCCCACAGACCCCATGTCATCCACACTTTCTCCCAAACATGAGCCTCTCCTGACTCGACTCGTCCTCCAGGTGCAGAGCTCCACACCTGCTGCAGCAGCTCTCTGTAATTAGCTCGACACAATTACCATCGGTGGACGCAGGGAGGGGTGCGCGCGGAGACAATGGGGCAGTTATTCTTGCCCCTATCATCTCCTTCTCCCCGGCCCACTGTCGAGTAATGAAAGATTCTTCCCTTCTTCAAAGAGACGGAGTTTCCTACAAAACAGCTGAGTCAGAGCCGAGCAGAGGGAGGGATGAAAAGCAGAGGAACAGTAGGAGGCAGCCGGCTGGTGTGAGGCCCGGCGGACCACAGGCATCGCCGCGCTGCTCCTTGTTGTGAGCTCAGGAGCCAGAAAAGGCCCGTGGCTCCGACACTTAGCAGTAACAGCTCCAGCCTGGCGCGCTATCAGTCTGGTAGCACTTTACCTGCGTCATGCCGCCATGACGGCCCGGCGTCACACGAAAGGTCAGAGAGTGACGACGGAGGCTGTGAGGCATCAGGACGGAGAGCAACATGGTTTCACTGCAAAGTGCACCGGAAAGAGAGAAACCCAGAAAAACCCCCGTAGAACATCTGGCAGCAAGGAGGAGAAAACACACGTAGAAAACAGTGGAATTTATAATCTGTAAAAATAACAGCAAATATCGATAAAATCAGTAAACCGATATTTATTAGCTGATAAAATAACTACATCTAGAGTTTTACAGTCAAACCCTGTCAGTGAAATGAAATGTGCATTTTTTTTTTACAGTAAACGGATGAATGAAAACATTTTATCTGTGATTTTATCTGTAATATAACAAAACAAAAAAAAAGTAAAATAACAGGAAATTTTTTAACATTTTTCAATCTTTAATATATATTTTTTCTTTGAAATAATGGCTAATATTTGTAAAATAAAATGACTTTTTAAATACAGAAAGAAACAGAAAGATTTTATAGAAACACGGTGGAGAAAAAAACCAGAAATTGCTTTTTGTAAAAATACAGATTTCTGATGTGGATGTTCAGGACATTTTTGGCCTCTTTTACTTTTTTTTTTAGTTTCAGTTATTGGTAATTTAATAAAACAGAAAATCTGTCAAATAACAGTTCAAAAGGTATTTATTATTATTATTTTTTAAATCCTTAACATACATCATTTTTCTTTCAAATACCAGCAAATGTCTGTATAATAATATTTCTTGCTAATTCAAATACAGTTTTTAAAAAGCCTGTTTCATGGTCGAATGATGTAAAAGAACAAAATACTATTTGTCAAAAAAAAAAAATTCTACATGAAATTTATTACTTTTCTGTGATTTTACTTGATGTCAAGAATGTAATAAGAATTTCTAAAAATATCTTATTTATTATTTCCCGTTCAGTCCTTATTTTACAGAACTTTTCTTTCAAATAACAGCAAATATCCACAAAATAATAACTTCAACTGATTTAAATACAGTAAAATGGTGCAAAATGTAAAAAAAACAACTTTATTTTGGCTTCTTTTTTTAATGATTAAATTGTAAATGTAACTTTTTTTCCCTATAATTTTACCAGATATGATCTCTAATTTACCAAAGCATGAAAAATCTGGGAATTATGTGTAAACTGTTTAAAAAACTTTTGCTAAAACTTTTATTTCTTTTTTCAATGTAGTTGTAGTTGTTGTGGAATCTGGTTCCTCCCTCTGAGAGTCACCAGACAGACTCGAGCGGATCGTTGTGCTGTTGAGGAACCCGGCAGCAAGAATCTCAGACAGAAAGTCGGACCGGAGGAATCAGAAGGTCGGAGGGAAACCTGCGAGTCCAACAGACGGCACTCTGTGGCTGCGGCTGCGTCGGCCGGCGGAGCCTCGGCGAGGTGACCGAGAGGCCACGAGAGGAGCTCCCTGAAGGCCCCGATCTGTTTGCTGCCGGTTACGTCAGCCCCCGACGCGAAGCGCGCGTAAACGCACACAAACTGTTTTTTCTCGTTCTTTCTTTGGTGCGGCCGTATAAAAGAGGCCCTGTGAGGTCCGATCCACCCGGCTGAGGCTGGTCACTGTTGGCGGGTCGGCCGGCCGAGCCTCGCCGTCTGCCTGGCTGCTGCCACCACCACCACCGACCGCCGGAGCTGCCCCTGCCTGCCCGGCCGGCCGTCCACTGGCGGCTGTCTGTCCTGGTTCTGTCAGGCAGCGCTGCCTTCATGTTCTGGTGGTCGTTTCCCCTTTTTAAAAATGTCCTCAGCCACCTTTTCGCTGGTTGCGCTGCTCTCTGCGCCGGGCCGGGGGGCCTGCGGGCCTGCGGGTAGGGGCCTTATTCCATCAGCCCGGGGCTTCTGTCAGAGGCTTGTTCCATTTT